GTTTTTCATGATCAACCGCTCAATCAAAAGCTTTCAGTATGAAAATTAATGAGTTACAATGTAATAAACATCAATAAACAACAGAGGTCTGAAGTCCGAATAAGCAATAAACATCAATAAAAGCAGGGTAGATTGTTGTCAAAATAGATGCAATAGGGGGAAACATAGAAAAACAAATGGTTCACCAATTTCATCTCAATCTCAACCAGCTGCAGTAGTCTTCAATCTTAATGTCATCATCCATTCAGATTAATGTCCACTCATATTCACTTGGATCGAGTTGATTAAGGTTTCATTTGGGACGGCTTTCTTACTGCTTTTTAAAGCAATTTTTAATAGAAAAATTAAAAGTTTTATACTAAAAAACTGTTTTAAAAAGCAGTAAGAAAGTTGTGCCAAACAAAACCTAAATCGTCTCAAAAACTTGGACCAGTTTTTAATAAAAAATCATTAGCCAAGAACCAACTCTGAACTCGCCTGAAGGTCTCAATTCAACCGAGATAGGATTGTTGAGTCTAGTGAATAGGTTGTTAAACCTAAGTTAATGTCCCAAGGCTAACCAAGAGGGGGGTGAATTGGTAATTTAAAAATTATACTTATACTCTTGGATTTTTAGAAAACCTTTTTAATTATTAATGCAAGTTAAATTTAAAGTTTAAAAAATAAACTTTTCAACCAGAGTAAACAACTTGCAATGAAATTAAATGCGGAAGAAAAATAAGAAAGAACACACCAGATTTATAGTGGTTCGATCAAATCTTGACCTACGTCCACTCCCCGGAGGCACCCTCCGAGTATTGCACTAATACCACAAAGTGACTCTCCTTTTGCCCCCAACGCAAGGCTGAGAAGCCTATACAAAATCACTTTCACCTTCCCCAGTGCGGCGGAGTAGCCGGGTTCTTTGACACCAAAGAGATCTTCTTCTAGCCAAAACTTCCCTCAAGACGATCCTTGAATCCGATGGTACTGAGGTGCAAGTTCGCCGGAGCAACCGTGTGAATATCCCCTCCACACTCCCTTGAAATCCCCTCCAAGGATCTTCTCCCTCTCAAACTCCACCCTTTCCTCTCTCCTTTTCAAGTTCTCTGTTCTAGTTTTCTCCAAAAGAACGAAGACACAATGACTGTCAAAGATACACTTTGTCGTCCTTTTACACTCTCCAAGTGTCGGCAGAGAACCGGACCGATGTTGTTGAACTTCACTTGATAGCCTTCAAAGGAGATGGTCAGAAACAAAGAGATCTTCTTCTTCAAGTAAGCTTGTGAATCCCTCACAAACCCCTCACTTGATCTCTCACTCTTCACTCTTATAATATCTCCCAAACACTCACACTTAATGATCCTTGTCAAGAGAAAATAACTCCAAAGGTACTCGTAATAGTTTATAGGAGTCCTTATATAGAAAAGAAAAGAAAAACAGTCCAAAAAACTGCTAAAATCATGTTTTTCTGCGCACTGGATCGTCCCGTACGAACCTGAGTTAGTACGGACGAACTGTGTAAAAAAGTGTCCCGTATGAACCATTTGTGCATCAGTACGAGCCAATTTCGTCCTGGGACGAAATAGGTTCGTCCCGGGATGAAATATTTCGTCCGGTACGAACGGTTATATCAAAGGTCGGTTCCGAAAACTGCAGAACATTGCCAGAAACTGCCATAGTCGGTTCCCTTCGTCCTAGATGATCATAACTTAGAAAAAATATTTTTCTTCAGTTCCTATTCATTCCATTGTTTTTAAGAGGAGATAACTGACCTAATCGTCCTGTACGAACTATGTTCGTCCCGTACGATCAGTATAAAATATTTAAGATCTCCTTAAGTGTGTGTGTGTTTTAATTCACTCAATTTACAATCACTTCCTTTCAAATTTATTTCAAAGAAAAGTACAAGCTTCAAATCATAGAGTATTTCATGATGAATTGATTTTGAAGTCTTCGTTTGTCTAGAGTTCGATTGTCCTGAAATGTTAGTCCACACAAGAGCAAAAACAAATCTTTCAAAAAATGTTAGGATATAACAACACATAAAACAATAATATTTGGAATCATCAAAATTATACAAGTTGCAAGAATGTAAAACATGCGAATAACAACTTTCCTAACAAGGATTTCATCCACTTAAACTATGATTAGTTTTAAGTCGCCCTATAATACCACACTATTGAATTTGCCACCAAAGATACCTGCTCAAATAGGCTTTTCACTCAAAGCACTCAACCAGAATAGTCGCCCACTGCACAACTAGTTATACATCGAGGAAAGAAAACAACAAGATACAGTAGGATCTTCAATTGGAGAGGAAGATCCTGCTCTCCCAATCTCTGGCCGGAGACTAGAGCCCAAGCAAAACCAAAAGAAACAACAAAGTCTGCAAAATACATCATAACCCTAACCCTATAATATAAATTACTACTTAAAGCTAAAGCAAACAACAAATCCCTAAACAGCCTTCAGAATTTGAAATTTCCCTCCCAAATCCTTCTTAATTAAAGTCATAACACCCTAATTAAGAGGGCTAGACCCCACCCCATCCCTATACATCAAGCGCCTGGAATAGACCCGAACGGGTTAGAACCAGTTCAGCCGGCTCCTCAAGAGCCGGTCTAGCAGCATCCAAAGAATATATTGCCCTGCCATTATAGAGAGTACCTGCAATTTACCTTGATGATACAACAAAGCACAAAACTCACACAAAAAAGGCATCAGGGAAAATCAATTTTACCAATTGTGTAATAACACTAATAAACAATCGTATTCTTAATTTGTTTAAAACCTGTTCTGAATTTAGCCTCCAACAATAACAGCTGTTTGCATTCAAACAATCATACTTTTTGGGATAAAACATTTAGCAAATATAATTTAATATAAAGAAAACTAATTTCAAATTTTGATATAAAAGTTCACATGCATGACTCTGATCATAAACCATTTTGCCTATTTTAACTTATAATAGAAAAGGCATAAATTTTGGGTGGGAATATACAGATTTAAATTGATTATGATGAGTTTAAGGTTTCGTTTGGTAAGACTTTTTTATTACTTCTTAAAATAACTTTTTTTTTTTTAAATTATAATTTTTATACTAAAACTCTGCTTTAAGAAGCAGTAAGAAAGCCATCCCAAACGAAGCCTAAAAGTCATATATTTAGGTTTTATTTGGGACAATTTTCTTATTACTTTCTTAAGCAATTTTTTTAGTACAAAAGAGGAGAGATAAATCAATACATAACTAAGGAGCCATGCAAATGAGAAACATATAGGTCACAAGAAAATGCTCTTTCCTGAAGCCATGTCTATTCAATTTCACTACAAAGAGAAGCATCAACTCTCTCAAAGCCAAATAAATAGAAAAGTTTATAATCTCTTGCTGAAATACAGCAATTACACAATAAAGATTAAACAAAGGATCCTTCAAGAAGGCATCTCTACCCTCTCTCTCACACCAAAAAATTAATTCTATTTACAGATTGTCAAATTGAGAGGAAAATATAAATTGATTTATCTTCCAAATTTGATGATGAAATCTGAATCATTCAGATGTCCACAATGAATAAATGAGAAAAATTCATTGGCACAAACACTCGATTGACAACTTGGACAAAAATCAAATGGATTTCTTACCTAATGAGCACGAGCCATTTGTTCGTCTAAAAGACTATATATGCCAAATTTATGAAATGTAATATTGGGTGTAAGTTACTAGACTGAAACACTTTAGATCTTCGTGAGTTCTTACTATGATGTGCTTTTCTTTGTGTTATCTTCATTACTACTCTCTAGTGCTATAAGAAAAGGTTCACTTCACTCTAATTCCTTTATGAACTCCAAATGGATCATCTCACTCACAATAAGTAAAATCAAATGCTTTCTATAAGATTAGAGTGCCTTCTTGGGAGATACTAGAATATTTTTGTTTGGTTGTGCATGATTAGGAAGAAGTCTGGATAATAGTACAACAATAACAACAACAACATCAAGCCTTTGTCCCACTACGTGGTGCCGGCTACATGAATCCTTTTTCTCCATTGTGTTCCGTTAAAAGTCAAATTCTCGTTTAAATCTAATAAAGAAAGATCATTTCTAATATTTTCTAACCAAATTTTTTAGGTCTACGTCTATCTTTCTTAACATAGGTCAAATTTAATACCTCTACTTTCCTAATCGGGTCATCGGGAGATCGCAATTTTATGTGACCAAACCATCTAAGCGACTCTCTCTAATCTTATCTTCCACTTGAGCTACTCTAGCCTTTTTACGTATATACTCATTTCGTATTCTATCTCTAAGGGTAAAACCACTCATCCGCCTAGCATCCTCATCTCTGCAACACTTAATGCTTCTCTTTTAATGGCCAACAAGAAGTCTGAATAATATTAAACTATATAGAATGGATTCATAAGATCAAATTCTCATTATACTTTCACCATCATCATCTTATTATGGTTATCATTATGACTTTCTTGTGTGGGAGCAAAATAAATGATTAATAATATTATTTTCATGTGTGGTTAATAGTAAGCTAGATAAAACACATTGCATAAGTACAGTGTCTCATAATCTCAATATAATCTCATATAGACAAGTTTTCAGTAAGATGCCAGTCCTTCAAAAGAAATGGGAATGTAAGTAATAGACCAAAAAATGATGTGAACAGGATAAGGAAACTAATTATGCAACTTCAGCAAGTATTATAACCATCACCAGCAGATCTTGGCTCCCAACTTGAATGTTTTGGCAGTGTTCGGATGACAAGAACTTGATTGAAATAAAATAATAAAAGAGTTTAAAAGCTTAAAGCAATGGTTGTAAACTCATAAAAAATCCACAATTTGTTGAAATGGTTGTACTCTCACATGTCTTATCAATCTCCCCCTCACAAAAGAGCTCTCCATGTCTGCCATCGCTCCCCCAACAAATAAAATTTTTTTTCACTATGAAGGTACTCAAAAAGAAGTCCAAAACATATATCCATAGCTGCAATCATTGAAGAAAGCTTGCAGTTTGCAATCATAAATCAAAATTTCATAAATGGAAGAAGTATAAGACAACATAGATATCTGAAGAATTCTCTTACAAGAAAGTCATATCCAGCATTATTTCTTCATTTGGAACCAAATAGATATAAAGAAAACATTTTCCTTTACACAGAGCATAGAAACCAGACTATATAAGGGCTTCAGCTCCGGCCACAATCTCCAAAATTTCACCAGTAATCTTAGCTTGCCGTTTCCGATTATAAGCCATGGAAAGATTCTTCTTCAGCTCAATAGCATTATCCGTCGCACTGCTCATAGCACTCATCCTGGCCGCAAGCTCACTCGCCAATGACTCCTGAAGAGCTCTCAGAATCTGGCTGTTCAGATACAAGGGAAGCAATGCATCCAGAATTTGAACAGGATCCTGCTCAAATTGCAAAATTGGTGAAAACGCCGGCGTAGGAGTCCTCACCGTCTCCCTCTCCACAGTCAATTTCCCTTCCTTTGTCGTCAATCGAAAAAGCTCATCCTCAGCAGCATCAACACAAACACCATTGATGTCACAAATCTCTCCCTTCGGCGATAGGGGCAACAGTGTATGAATCACAGGATCAGATTTCACCAAGGACACAAATTTCGTATACAAAAGCTCAACTTTATCAACCTCCTCGGAAACAAAAAGGGAAAAAACGTCATCTGCTATGGCCTGCGCGTCCTTAGTGGTAGGAAGATTACCGAGATCAAGAAATCGATCGACTGGAATGTGAGGCCGGCGTAGGAAATACGTATTCCCCTTCTTCCCAACCGAAATGACTATGAAATCGAGACCTAGGACTTTGATTTCGGCTATTCGAGATTCCGCTTTCTTTAAGACGGCGTTGTTGAATCCACCGCAGAGGCCGCGGTCGCCGGTGACGACGACGAGGGCCAGCTTGCGAACAGGGCGGACTTTGGTGAGGGGGACATCGATGTCGTCGGTTTGAAGTTGGGTGTTGATGTTGTATAGGACTTCTACGAGGGTTTCGGAGAAGGGCCGGGACGAGACGACGGCCTCCTGAGCACGTCGGACTTTGGCGGCAGCGACAAGTTTCATGGCTTCGGTGATCTTTTGGGTGTTTTTGACGGAGTCAATGCGGTCGCGGAGGTCGCGAAGGCTACAGTGGATGGTGGTGGAGGGACGAGGGGTGGTGGGGGCTAGTGGGGAGGGGAGGAAGGAGGAGAGAGAGGAGAGCGAGGAGTGCGATGAGAGGTGGGATAGTTTGTGAGAAGGGAAGATGGAGAGGTGAGAGGAAGACATGGTGAGACTGAGCTGTTCTGAGTTTCCTCTCTCTCTCTCAGTGGAAGAAGCAAAAGCAGCAAGTTTTCTGATTGTCGCGGCTTTCGTTCCTTTGTGGAGGATAATGAGAGGTGGAGGGAGGAGGAGGAGATTGGGTTGGGATAAGGGGAGATTTTTGACCGTTTAGGGAAGGGATTTTTTTGTTTTTTGTTTTTATAATCTGTTTGATTAGGGGAGTATATAATCCGTGATTAAGGCTGATATTTACATTTTAAAAATTATATAAATTATGAAATCAGAAGTTTTAAATATTATTTTAAGAAAGTTCTGAACTCTGATTTTTGCATGCCTATATTTGATATGATTATATGATCAACATAAGTCATCAATATTAAAAATATTCAAATGTTAATATAATTAAAATTTCTGAAATTTTTTAAAAGCATTGAATGAACTCTAATTTTACATAATTTTAATCGAAATAAGGCTCATTAAAGAAATTTCAATGATTGTAAAATTAGACTAATTTAAGTTTTCATTTGAGTTATTAAATAGTCAAAAAAATTATAAAATTTATAAATCATGCCCCACCATTAAGATTCATCTCACATTTCTCTAGGCCATCACTTATACTATCATAATCACTCATCCGAGTCATCATAAATGTCTATCCTAGTTAAAACTTTTATAAAAAAATCTTATATCCCAATTAACGGCCTAAGACGAATGAATCAATTGTAAATAGACTAAGGCTTCGTTTGGGATGGCTTCCTTGCTGCTTCTCAGCTTTCTAGTACAAAAATAAAAAAAAATTGTACTATAAAACTGCTTTAAGAAACAACAAAGAAAGCCGTACTAAACAAAATGTAAATCTCATGCAATTTGTGAATGAAGGTCTAACCTCCAAAACTTAAGATATATAGACCATAAATTGTAAGTCATTTATAGTGTTAGATTGCTCTCCCAGAGATGAATATTTTACCCCTAAAATGACAATAGGTGACCTCCAAAACTTGGGTTGAAAACTTCAGCCAATACTCACAAATGATAATTTGTTGAGTATTTACTATATATATCTAAAAATGCATAGTAAATATGCAATAAATACTCAACAAATAAACAACAATCTGGATGATCCTCTGCGTTCAGAGTCCACATAGAATAATTTCCTCTTCTTAAGATTCATATGTCTTCTTATGCATTAGCATTGTCCATTTGAAGTATTTCTTTCTCATTATTTTCAAATTAACTATAAGCTCATATTTCTTCTCTTGCATTAAGACAGGCCATTTAAAATACTCCTTCGAATAGATCGCACCATGATAATTGTAAAAGGTCGGTTCAAATTAGGTAGATGAGATGAGCATTACAAAATCATTCTAGATGAAGCGAGGTTAATCTTCTTGGCAAGGTTTGCGATAACGACTTCATTAATGAGAGAAAATAAGCCCTTGAATGCTTTTTGGTGGTGAGGTAACAAAAAAATGCTCTCCATTTTGCTAGCAAGCTCTACTAACCCATATAATTACAAGCGTCTGCCTGGATTCTCCGTGGCTTTGGAGAAGAAGTTCTTTAGCAAAAATCATGGTTCTCTAACCATCACATGTAGGGTGAAAATAGAGTTGTGATTCTCTGGTCATCGCCTAGAGTGTAAAAATAGAGTTGCAGTTCATAACTTAGGATAAATAATCTAAAGAGAGAAAAATTAGGTGAGAGTACACTAATCAAAATTTAGGGTCATTCTGGGACGGCTCACTATCATTACAAAGCAACATACATAAATTATGTGAGTATTTTATACATTAGTAGAAAAAAATTTCAATCCATATGATATAACACAACAATACCAAGCAAAGCAACCAGATATAATGGAGCCTTTATACCTTCCTCATTCTTTATAGAAACTTCAAGGAATGTATTATACAAAGAAAGGAAATCAGAAAGAAGAGCTTCCATTTATTACTGAGTTAATATCAAACGCTTTATCCTACCAAAGCACAAAAGAGAGAATCCAGTGAAAAAAGGTACAAAAGAAGGAGAAAGGAAGAAAAAATAGACAGCCCTCAGATTAAGCAAAAGCTCAAAATCAAACTATACACCTCAAATACTAGATTGCAATTTCACTTTTTGCATTTTCTTCCTACCACAAATGTTTAAATTGCAGGTAAACTCTTCAGAGGCAGATTAGGCATGCCTAGCTGGTTGCGGAAGTCCACTTCTCATCATTGCACAGAATTCTTCATAGTTTATTCTTCCATCCTGAAGTTATTACATGGAACCATTGTCAAGAACAGCACAGGCACTACACATAATAAGGGAAATTTGAATATTTGTTTAAATTCTATATTTGAACCATTGTAATTTTCTTGGGTTTTGTTGAATCAATAGGAGTTCATAAATCCAATTTATTAACCAGAATTGTACATAACCCTGTTAATTTTTCTAAGGCTTCATCAAATCCAGTTCATTTTACTCAGATTTGTAGCTTCAATGTTTACAAAAGTTGGAAAAAAAAGTATTCTACTTCACAAAGGAGTAAAACTGTTAAGGAACAAAAATACAAATTTTCCACATAATAAAACATTGGGTATGAACACTTACATTGTCAGTGTCAACCTCTAATATTATTTCCTTTATTGTTGCTGCATCACCCACACCATGTTCCTCCATTGCAGTTTCAAGTTCATCTCTTGTGATGAATCTGAAGAAAATTGTAGGAATATCAAAAGCAATAAGTGAGCTATTAATCTTGGTACTGAGCCGTAGCTAAATAGTTTATCAGTGCAAATAGAGATAACATCTCACTTGCAGTAGACTCACCCACTATTATCTTTATCAAAATACTGAAAGGCGCCATATAAGTTCTCCTCCCTTTCCAACTTGTGCCTATGCATTGTGGCAGTTATAAATTCAATGTAGTCAATGGTCCCATCGCCGTCTACGTCGGCCTGAGAGAGAAAAATCATTTATTTATGAGAAAATTAAGTAAAGAGGACAAACATAGATATTTATATGTTATGGATCAACTTACAGCATCCATTAGCTGTTTTACTTCAGCTTCAGAAAGCTTTGAACCAAGCCGCGCCAAACCCGTCTTTAGCTCTTCATATGTAATGGTACCACTACCGTCAGTGTCCATATTAGCGAACATTTGCTTTAGCCCCTTAATTTCTTCCTCAGAGAAGGTTTCCGCGATAACCTTAAATTTGCTCAAATATCAGGAATGTAATGCAAATAGTTGGGATAATGATGCGGAGCATTTTAGTCATAGTATTCTTTAAGAGTACTTTATTTAAGTTTTTTACAAGTTTATTACTAGTTTCTAGAATGTTCTTAAAAATACTCCTTAGGACTAGCTTATTACAAGTTTCTAGAATATTCTTATTAGCCTATAAATAGGCAAAGTATTGTAGAAAGAAGATATTGAAGAAAATATATTCTCTTTGAAGCTTTTTTGAAGCTTAGTTCTTGTCTTTGTTTCCTGGATTGGAATTACCTTCAAGCAGGTCCGATTCTTCCGACGATCACCACATCAGATAAGACTAATGATGATGATATCATGAATGTAATAAGAGGGTATTTGTTTCAATATGATTTAAAGGTGAGTGTTATGTGTCAAATATTGCATGCTTAGTTCAATGTTATTGTGTTATTGTGTTTAAAAACATCTACATGATCAAAGTTATGATTTTGTGAGACTTAAGATGTTACTGTGTTAAGATATAAATGTCTATTTAAGATGTTGGCAAAACCAACAACTAGCCTCAAACAACATGGCATCACATTGCCAAGTCTGTAAACCAAACAGAAGATGTATTAGTCAAGAGCATTTTATAGACCAACCTTCAAGGCCAATTTCTTTAGCTTATTCATCGCTCGGAATTGCTTCATCCTAGTTAGAACTGCACTATCTATGGGTTTATCAGATGCGTCGCCGCCTTCTCTAATCCAAGGATGCTCTGAAATATAACCATACAAAAAGCTAATCTAAGAATGTAGATGATGTGAAGTGATAGAAACACAAAACTCCAAAAAATGAACACAAACCAAGAACTTGAGCTGAAGTAATTCTCTTTTTCGGGTCCTGGGTAAGCATTTTCCTAACCAGATCCTTAGCACTCGCTGAAATAGATGGCCAGGGTGAACTTTCAAAGTCAATCTCACCTTGCAAGATAGAATCAAATATTCCCTTTTCGGTTTCTGCAATGGAAAATTTAAAAGATGTTGAAAATGCAATATAAGAAGCTTATAGCTAGCATGCATAAAATACACTATGAATCATGTATCACCTGCCCAGAAAGGAGGCACACCACTGAGAAGAATGTAGAGAATAACTCCTGCACTCCAGATATCTATTTCTTTACCATAGCTACGTTTCAGTACTTCTGGAGCAACATAATAAGCGCTTCCAACAATATCTTTATAAACTTTTCCTGTATGGAGTTCATGAAAGTTCAGTGCTTATTGATGGACTAAAGTACATTCATAATGAAGAAATATGGACAAAAGCAAATGAGAAGAAGGTTGGAATCACAATAAAATGATAAAAACTTATGATTGTGAAAACTCTAATTCACATCATTTCAAGATTTTTAAGTCCACAAGAGAGGGTTATTATTTAAGGTGCCATTTGGGATCTATTTCTATTTTAATTATAATTTTTATTTTAAAAAAGAACGCCTGGTTTGTAGCTGTTTTTATTTTTTTGTTTTTGAAAACAAATCAAGTTATATTTGAAAAAGCCAATAAAACAGAATATAAGATTAAAGACTGTAAAAATGATATAAATACAAGAATGTTATCATTAAAAAGCAATTCATCCACTAGATTCAAATCAGGTTTGGGACTTCTTACTGCTTCTTAAAGCTGCTTTCTAGTACAAAAGTTTTAATTTTTATACTACAAAGCTACTTTAAGAAGTAGTAAGAAAGCTATCCCAAATGAAGCCTCAGTCAGCAGCGGAGCCCTGCATCGGGTACCCATACCCACAACCACTCATGTACCCACCCATTCCCAATGGACATGGTGGTTATGGGTACGCCCATAACCTCATGGGTGGGGGTATGAGTGGGGGGATAAACCGATTTACATTATTAATCACCGTATGCAGTATATTACAATAATCCTCAATAGACAGTGAACAACATTGAGTCGCACTGCGACTACGATAAATTTTGATATGTAGCTTGAAAGTTTGCAGTCAGAGTAATGGGCAACAACCTCAAGGCCATCAGTCCGTAACAGACTGCATTCAAAAAGCATGGAAATTGGGTGGATATGGGTGGGTACGACATCCCGAAAGCCACTATGGGTAGGCGTGGATGGGCAAAGCCTTCCCATGCAGAGCATGTATATCCAATGGGTACCCAACTAGGACCCCATGTAGGGCTTTGGTCAACAGGTAATAGTTATAGCAATTCTCATGTTATAAGCATGACATATCAATATGCAAGTGAAAATGTGCTTTTAAATGGGAGAAAAAAAGACCTTCCTCGATGAAAACCGAGAGCCCAAAATCAGTTGCCTTAAGCATAGCCCCCTCATCCTTGGTTGCAAGCAAGAAGTTCTCAGGCTTGAGATCCCTGTGCATAACACCCATGAAATGACAAATATTCACCACATTGACTATGTCCCTGCAAATACTCGCAGCCGCTCGCTCTGAGTAATGGCCCTTCGCAATTATTCGATCAAAGAGCTCTCCACCAGCACAAAGCTCCATCACAAGATGAACTGAATTCCTGTCCTCATATGAGCCCTTGAATTCTACAATATTTGATTGACCTGTTAAGTGTTGCAAGATTTGCATCTCCCTCTTGATATCCTCCTTATCATTTTTATGAACAAGTTTGCGCTTTGAGATCGACTTGCAGGCGTAAGAATGGCCTGTGGCAATCTCCTTGCAGAAATAGGTGACGCCGAATTGGCCGCGGCCAAGCTCCTTGCCGAGTGAATAATGGCTGCGAACATCCTCAAATGGCTTGCCAAGGATTGTGTTATTGGTTGGGGCAGGCTTGGGTGGAGATGCAATCGGTGGGTTTGGCTTAGCCGGAGATGGTGGAGCATAATGGGTTTCCGGCGATGGACGTGAGGGTTTCACCGGTTGTACCGTCGCGGGAGGCTGGTGGGAATGGCCATTGGCTTCCAGCCCTGTTCTTTTCCCTTTTCCGCAGCAAGATCCCATCTTTCTTCTTCCACAGTCGATACTTTTGATTTTGATATTGGATTCAACTTCTTTCTAGGAAACCTTGATGATCCAGATCTTTACAAAATCTGGAGTTTTAAACGCAGGGAAAAGAGCATGTTTAGGGTTTGAACTTCGAATAAAAACTCAAGCCAGATAAGAAATCCCGTGAAGTTTTCTAAAAGACAGCCGAGAAAAGAGACACCTTGCAAGTTAAAATAAGATCAAAATGGAGAGAAACAATGCAAAGGAACAGGATAAAACCGATAAAATTTTGAATTTGCTTCAAACGCTCTCCAGAAATTTCACGCCAAGAAAAAAGTAGAGGAGGAGAGGGCTGGTTTTTCAGCTTTTGAATACCAATTAACCCCAAGCAAAGAAAAGAAATCGCGTGAAGCTTTCTCAAGATACAAAAAACCAAGAAAAGGCGACACCTTGCAAGTTAAGAAGATATCAAAATGCCCAAAATCATTTTTTTCTTTTTTTTCCTTTCAGTGGAAGAATGATGGGAAGGAACCGCGTTATCCAAATTAAAAAAATAATGACAGGAACGATTCGGAATCTGATAAAATGTACAAAGGAGGAAGAAATGGAAAGGAAAGCCTGTTAGCCGCCATATTGCGTTAACAGATCAGTGGCAGAAGGAAGTTAGGCTCTTTCCAACGAAAAAATGATTCACGGCCATTATTTTATTTAAATTCCTAAATTTAGGATAGGAATGTGGGCCGAACGACGAAGTCTTATAAAGAAAAGAAGAAGCTGGATGGTAAATATATTTTTTATTCCGTTAACCAGTGATTAATTAGTCTCCTACCAACTAAAGTCTTTCAAACCCCGGTCTCCTTCCGACTACGGTCCTTCCGACCTCCATCGCCTACTACGGTCGTTCCGACCTACATCGCCAAATAACGGTCTTTCTGACCTTGGTCTCCTGCCGACTACGGTCCTTCTGACCTCCGTCATCTACTATGGTCATTCCGACATCCATCAACAGACAACTATTTTTCTGACCCTGGTCTCCTGCCGACTACGGTCTTTCTGATCTCCGTCGCCTACTATGGTCCTTCCGACCTCCATCAACAGACAACGGTCTTTCTAACCCCGATCTCCTGCCGACTAAGGTCCTTCCGACCTCCGTCTCCTACTACGGTCGTTCCGAACTACATCGCCAAATAACGATCGTTCTGATCTCTATCTCCTGCAGACTATGGTCCTTCCGACTTTCGTCGCCTTCAATGGTCTTTCCAACCAAATAAACATGCCTATGTTGATTATTGTAACTCCCATCATGTAATGCGCTCTATATGACGTACATTTGTAACATCATGCCAATGTCTTCTCCCTAAGAAGGACCTCATTTGTAATCAACTGCAAATACTAGTGGATTCATCAAACTGGGCCATGCCCCATGGTTTTTCCCCCTTTTCAGAGGTTTCCACGTAAAAACTCTGGTGTCTCTTATAAATGCTACACCCTCTCTCTCTCTTATCTGATTGTGTGCTGGATCTTCGTATAATGCTAAGACGTTAAACTTTATATTTTCTCTACCACCGCGAATACTCTAGGACCCAACAAATCTGAATGGTAATTATAAATATTTTTGGTGGGGTGTTATATTCATTGTCAATTTGTTGTGTGAAATGAAGACTTATTTATATATTTTTGATATAATGTTTTATTTATTTTTATCAAAATTCTAAATGTTATATTAAACAACATAAAATGATCGCTTTGATTTTTGATAATATCAAAATGAAATGATTTTAGACTCATTTGATTTACCTCATTGAGATACATGCATTAAAAATTTTAAATGAAATTTAGACTATCTTGATATTGATTATAAAAAATTCTAATTTGAATAATTGCATCATGATTCATAATTTATCGAATTATTTTGTGGTTGAATGATTGTTCTCCAGAGAATAAATCTTTCAATATAATTGAAATTGATGGCCTATTATCATCATTTATTGGTGGGCTTAAAGTTAATAAATAAGTAATAGTTAGTGCTTAAACTAAGTATCTTGAAATAATTCTAGTTACTATATTTTCCACATTAATTAATACAATTAGCACCTAATATTAGTATTCTTACTCTCCTTCCATATTTCATTAGTTCTAAGTCATCCCTCTTAAATCACTTTCACCTTTGAATGAAAAATTGCTTTGTGAAATATGTTAAGACTTAGGGTTCGTTTGGAACAGCTTTCTTCTTGCTTTCTAAAACAGTTTTTTAGTGCAGAAATTTCTTTAATTTGAAATTTTTGTATTATAAAGTCGTTTAAAAAAGCAGTACGAAAGCTATCACAAACGAAACCTTAATGAAGAAAAATATCCTGAACAATAATGAAATGAATTAAAATTATTAAGATTCATAATTAAAACACTCATTGATGCCAATTATCTCATAATGGAATTGTAATTTTCTAATAATTGAGTCAAACAATAATAATGTTTGAAATTTGCTATCTAGTTCAATTTGGATGCATTTGAACATCATTAAATTTAGCCAATTTCGACATACAATGTAAATTCTCAGCCATTGCCACCGCCACTGATCACCACCTGTCCCCTGTAGCACGCCTTTGATCACTGACTGCCACAACCATCATCAATCATTACTACTAGCGGTCACTATCATCGACCACCAGCCACCACCATCGTTAGACTTTTCATTACATTTATTTTACTTCAAATCAAATAAAAAATAATTTTTTATATTTATTTTACACTCATACAAATAACTCAAAATATTTTTTTTAAAAAATTATATGCTATTTACTCTGTATTTTTTTTCCAGCAATGCAAACGGCCCTTCATGTAACATCTTTTATTGAACAAAGCCTTCCATTGGTGGACATGGGCTACGAAGACTATAATGGTAATTGTTAGGCCCATGGGCTTTAGGTTAATTTGGAATTCCTCAGATCGTGGATGAGGCGGTGGCCAGATCCGCCTTAACAGATGTCTGCGCCCGCTTTTCTCTGAGCTCTCTTAAAGCGTTTTCATCCGTTTCTTTCCTCCCGCATCTAACTTTCACTGCTCGATTTTCAGGTATCTTTCATCCCTAATTTTATAGAAGTATCAGTCCAATCGAATTTTCTGTTTATTTTTCTGGTTTTCTTCTTACTTTGTATAAAATTTTAATGAAATTTCTGACACGAATCAGGCTAGCATTTGGATTTTGAGACGAATAATTTCATTATTTCGCATCGATTTCTTTATGGCTTTGGGTTTTTTATATTTGGTTTCGGTTAATTCATGCTTTTTCTGAGATTTTATGGACGTCTGTGATTGAGATTTTGTTTGCCTGGGAGATTAGCGTTAGTTTTTGCAGGAAATTTTAATTAGGTTTTGTTAGGGTTTAATTTGTCTCTGTTTGTTCGCCGATGCTTTTTATCTTCTACTTTAATGGATTCAGCTTGTTTATGTTTCCGGATTCGAGATTTGGTAGATTGGTTTGCTTGCACCCGATTTGTCCGGGAACTGTGCGATTGTTATATTTCGAATCTCCGTGGACTTTGTTTTTTAAATAATGTTTATTGTTAGATCGACAAGTTTGTGTTGAGTTGAGTTCTCAGATTTAGGAATTCTAGGTCTTTTTTTTTTAATGAATTATAGGCTTGTTATTCTTTCTTTTGACGGGTTTATGAGGAACAAAAGCAAGCTTTGATTTTTGTTGAGTAACTTCTTAGTTGCTGGTAGAGATTACATTCGAAATTTTAAGATGGTTAACTGCAGGATGGATACAAATTCACCTTTAGAGACTACTGATGGCTTCAATGAAGAAGTTAGGGAGACTCTAGCTGAAAAAGTGGACTTAAATACATTTAAAAGCGAAGAAGCTCCACATAATGAAATGAAAGTTCTTTCAGACGAGGGCTATGCGAGTCCCCCAGTGCCTTTGTCTGAGGCTAGTGAGGAGGAGGCGCAATATACATTGAAAGAGTCTAATTTAGTAGATTCTTCATTGCCAGTAAATGAATTAGATGAAGCTGAGAGAAAAACATCTGATTATTGCATTGAAAGAGTGGGAAGCCGTGATGAGGATTATGAGAAAGAGAAACATGAGGATGATCTTGATGCTGATACAGATGTTAAAGACTATGTAGAAGATGGAGATTTCAATCACCATCATAAAAGTTTTTCGGATGAAGGAGACAATGACCACTATGATTCAATCGGTAGGGAGTATTATGAAAAGCCTACCACACAGTCTTCTACCCTCAATGATGCCACAAATGCCAACTATGACCAAGTCTCTGTTGACCTTCAGAATGAGCGAATTGAAGCTAATGAGGAACTAGATGATGAGAACTTGAACCTGAACTCTGTGCGACAAAGTCAAATGAGAGGAGGTGATTACTCTTCCGAGATGGAAACACTTGAAAATGGAAGAATGGTATGGGAAAACTCTAGCCTGCAATCTACTCAAGAAACTCGAAATGCTTCAATATCTCCTGAGAGACAATTATCTATTTCTGCAGAACGGTCTCCTCATAGCCAATTACCTCCCAAAGGCCATACTTCTCCCAAGCAAGACATGCCATCCCCTTCAAATTTTGACTTGAAATCAGCACCTTCTCCACAATCATCAAGAAGAAAACATTCTTCATCCCCTGGAAAAGGAAACTTGGGTCACAAGAGAACTTCTCGAGACCATTTATCTCCTTCCAAGAGGCCAAAATCTCCTTCTGAAAGGGTATCAAAGAGAGAATCTCACAATAGGATTGATTCTCCAAGGAGACGGTTATCACGATCCCCTCGTAAGCATGACTCTCCACGAAGGAGAGGAAGATCAGTGTCAAAATCACCTATGAGGAGAAGGGGTTCTCCTGGACACCAAAGAGACCGGCAGCGCAGTCGATCAAGATCTCCAATTTCAAGGAATCGCAAAATAAGATCACCAAGGTATCCATATCTTCATTTCTATTTACATAGTTCATTGTTGAGTTTTTTTCTTGGTCCTTTGGTAGTTCAACTTAATTAGTTTATACTCTATGCTAGAAGAACGCGAGACCTTTATTTTGAATAGGTTATTTTCTAAGAACCAATAGGCTTATATCTAAAAAATTTGCTTACTTGGGTGGTAAACTTCATGGCACCTGTTGCTTGAACAATCAGTTTGAGACTTAAAAATACTAGTATGTTTTACTTAACTTTTGGCTGGAGTATTCGAGGAAGGCAACATATATGCATGTCCTAGCTTTTAATGTTTGAGACTATAGGGCAATACTGTGTGTATGTCTAACCATAATTTTCTTGTATTATTTGGTTCAAAAGTTTTTGATAAGTCTGAAAGATGTATGTTGTGTTTCTGACATTTTGGAATATTTCGTTAAACACATTAGTATGTTATGTAAAAGCTAGCCATGGAAAAGATTTAATCTGATTGTAGTATTAAACTTAAAAGAAAAAATATTCATAATCAAATCAAAATGATACTATCTAAACTTTATCTAAATGTTTTTGATACATTGCTTTTATTTATCATGCCACATCTCACTCAAGACAGAAGTTTCAACATCTTTCTGGGTATGGGAGATCTTATGTGCATCTAATATCATGCTATTAAAAACTTAAAACATATTGATGTGCATAACTAAAGACCTTTGAATTCTTTGCAAAATCTTTATGTATCAGCTTGCAAAATACGCACTCATATTCCACAACAGACCTCCACCTTCCTTGTTCACTTGATGACTCCTTAGTGATCCATGGGATTATTTCTGCCACCTCATTAATTTGTGGATTTTGTAATAATTAATATATGATTTATATGTTTCCTGATAGGATATCCTCAAGTATTAATATTACACAAATATTGGAATAAACCAATCAACCAATTCTTGTAATGGTATTTGAGTTTTAGGTTTTTTTTCTTAGCATTTTCATACGCTACAACCTTCCTTGCTGGGTTGCCTTAATTTTACAAATCTTTTTTATTAAACTGCATTCTTTTGCTATAATTGCAACCTTTTTTATTATATTGTTGCAAATATTTCCCATTATTGCATCATTTATTGCGGCATTGCTGCAAATTAGCCCCAGTGTGCAACCTTCATCATGCATTGCCACAAACATTTTCGATTGTTGCAGCCTTCATCACTTCTACTAGATGAATGGAAATAACCATCTAAAATGATTGCAATTGGTTTGCAGGATCTTAAAAGGAAGAAGAATATTGGGCCATTTTAATGACAGAGAAGACAAAATATATTCTTAAGAGCACATGAAAAAACATCTATAGCAAATGAGTAATTTGCAAGCATAGAAATTCTGAACCTGAACTGTCCTACAACATATAGTAAAATCTCCAGTGTACGACTTCTTGAACAACTGATGCAGCTTGAGCTTGAAGCTGCATAAGTTGCCAATGCTTATCATGATTGAAATTATTATAAACACTTCTGTGTTTTGGTTTAAAAACCAATAGAGTAGTTTGAATCCTTTCTTATTGCAACAATCACTGATCACTTTTGCAAGTTGTAATATAGAATCGTAGCAGGGTGCCTAGTTGAAGACTAAGTTTTTTACCATTTTCACTTATCATTTGCTTAAGCTATAATGCCTTTGTAGAGTTTTATTTTAAAACAATGAATCATAGTAAGTTGGGAAAAAAGTACGAGTATATTTGAAGAACTCAATATTAAGTGTATTATGCTACATTTTTAGCAATTTTTTATTGGGAGAACCTTGTAAAAGATATAGTTGAAGTTGCATGTGCAAGATACTATTGGAAACTTGTGAGTTTTGTGTATGAAAAAAGATAGAGTTCATGGCGTTTTATGACATAATTATTTGTAAGAGGTGCTCTAATTCAAGCGCCATATAGAATTTAAGAAAATAGAGAACCAGGAGAGAAAATTGTTAGACCGGTCCATTGGACCGGTCCATGTGGGACTGGCCCGTGCGAAACAGGCGGAGAACGCCTCTCCTGTATGAGGGGCGCAAGCTGCCCGATTCAAAGGAGCTTTTTGGGAAGGTTTTTGAAGGGAGTTTGGAGGGAAATTTTAAAGTAGGGGTTTTTAAGAGAATTCCTTTTGAATTATATGCATTAAATACTTTGTTTTTTCCTTGGGTTATGGCATCTTGAATTTGGCTGATTTTGAGATCTCTTAGGTTTAGGTTTTGGGCTCTAGGTTTGTCTAGAGATTGGGAGAGATCGATCATCCTCTTGAATAGAGGATCACTTGTATCTTGTTGTTTTCTTATGTTAGTTGATTTCTTGTAATGAAATCTATTGTTTTTCCTGATTTTCATTGGAATTTGGAAGTTTCTCGCTGTTTTCCGAAGATTGATAGGAAATACTTGAGATCTACAAGTGTTTCCTATCAAAAATGTCAAAACATGATTGTGTGTTCGCGGTGAAGTTTCTTTTTAAGATGATGAAGAATGAAGGATTTATGAAAACCATATTTATTTTTCTTGTATATTTGGCTAATATTTATTTACCCCACATATATTGTTATGATCGGTCACTTATTCTTTTGGTTGTTTATCTGTACGCAGCAGCAAGTCTGATCCTTTTTTGTTGTGAACTTTGGCAATTCAGGGGTCAGTCTCCAAGGCGTAGATCCCCTCCTAACTACAGGTCTCGTCAACGCTCATCAAGGAGGCCATGGTCCCCTCCTGCTAATCGCAACACAGGAATTGGTCGGCCTGGTAAAAATTTATTTATTGCAGGTTTTAGTTATGTGACTACAGAAAGAGATCTGGAGAGGAAGTTCTCCAAGTTTGGCCGTGTCACTGATGTTCGCATTGTCCGGGATAAACTGTAATTTACTTTACCCTAAATGCCTATATTTATGACATTCAAAACATGGCTAGGAGCGTTTATCTTAAAGATCTAAACTGTCAACCAGTTCATTTCTAATCAATTATAGTGAATTTGAAGGTTTATCCTTCAAAATTTGACTGTATTTATGACATTCGAAATGAGTCAGCAAGTTCCAAATTTTCTTGTCTATGTAAATTGTTGCTCATTCCAATATGAAAATGGCTTCGTTAAACGCCTGCTTATAGAACTTTTGTTTTGGTATTTATAAATTTTTCTGAAAATGTTTGGTAGCATTCTCTTGCCAGTTTTTCAGTGAGTTGTAGGCAATTTTATTCTTCATTTGTTGGTTTCAGCATTCTTCTACAGCGAAGCAATTGTACTTTAGTGCTACAGTTATTTCCCATAGATATAATCATCCTTTATTGTGCTTGTACATGTTTTTACTATATAAATATTATTGTTCTTGTGCACTCCAATGATATGAATGATGTTTCTCAATAATTCTTTTAGTATGTGATAGGAAACAAGTGCAGAAATCACAAAAGTAGTGGCTAAAATTTGTAATTTCAGCAAGCACCAAGCAAAAATTGAAGAAATCCCTTGGCAAATAAATAGAGAAACTTGATAATTGATGAAAAGTGGAAGAAAACAATAAGGATACAATGGATCTTCAATTCAAGAGGAAGATCTGACTCTCCCAATCTCTAGCCGGTGGCTAGAGCCCGAGCAAACCTAAAGAACTCTTAAATTCAGCAAAACACATGCATAACCCTAACCTTACGATGAGAATAACTATTAAAAGCAAACAACACAAAGTAAAAAGTCTAAACATCCCTTCAAATTCAAATCGCCCACTCATTCGGCCCTCTATCTCTCTTCCGCGACACGTGGACCTCCTCCCAAGGGGGGCGGGATTGCCTGGGTGGAACCAGGCTTTTGCTTGGTATAAATTTGGGTAGGTCCCATTTTGACCGGCGGAACCGGCCCCTCCTAGGCCAGTCTAACAATACATCCCTCTCAAAGAACCACCTTATCCTCAAAGTGGAAGGACGGAAATTGATGTTTCATCCGCTCATATGGCTCCCAAGTAGCATCGTACTCATGTAGGTTTTTCCACTTAATCAACACTTCCTTACTTCCTCCCTCCCCCTGCCATACTCTTACCAACTCCAGTGGTTCCAAAATCACCTCCAAATCCTCAGTCAGCGTCACTAGTAACTTTGAAATTGAGGTGTGATCCCTAATAGCTCTCCTCAAGTAGCATTGTTCTTGGTGATGTCGCCCGGTCACCATCCTCTGCTCTAGTAAGTACTTCAAGCTCCGTTGGTCAGTCCTGATGATGAAATGCCGGCCTAGCAAGTACAACTACCACTTTTGGAGAGCCAATACAATAGCAACAAATTCCCTCTCATAGGTTGACTTTAGTCTATCTCTAGCTATCAAAACCTAGTTGAAATAGTCTATGAGTTTGTGATTTTGCATGAGCACTACCCCAAACCCATATCCTGAGGCATCAGTCTCTACCGTGAACATCTGATTGAAATTGGATAGTGCTAGGACCAGAATCATGGTCATGTTTGTCTTCAATCTCTCAAAGGCCTGAGTAGCTGCCTCTCTCCACAAGAAGTTATTCTTCTTCAATTGCTCTGCCAGAGACCAAGCAATGGTATTGTATTCCCTCACGAACCTCATGTAGTATCCCGCCAATCCTAAGAAACCCCTTAGTTCCCTTAGGTTTGTAGGTAGAGTTCATTTCAGCATTGCCTCGATCTTGGCCAGATAAGTGGCCACCCCTTCTTGGGATACCACGTGCCTCAAGTACCCTGCACTCGGCTGTGCAAAACAATACTTCTTCAGATTGGCCCTCAACTGATGCTCCTGTAACACCTCTAAGATCGCCCTTAGATGCTCCAAATGCTCATCACTGGACTTGTTATATACCAATATGTCATAAAAAATCATAACAAACTTCCTGAGGTAAGGTAGGAACACCTTGTTCCTGAGGGATTGGAAGGTAGCAGTGACATTGGTGAGACCAAATGACATCACCAAAAACTCATAATGTCCCTTGTGTGATATGAAAGTTGTCTTTGAAACATCTTCCTCTCTCATCCCGATCTGATGGTATCCGGACTTTAGGTCCACCTTTGTGAATATCACCGCTCCACAAAGCTCATATAGCATCTCATCTATTACTATGATAAGAAATTTGTCTGGCACAATCTCCTTATTCAGGACTCGGTAATCCACATAAAACCGCCAACTTTCATCTATTTTTTACGCTCGGTTTGATGATCCCTGCCTCCAACATCTCCCAAATCAGCTTCTCATTCTCATATTTCTGGATTTGGGAGTAGCGATAAGGCCTGCCATTGATCGGTGATACCCCCTCCCTTAGCATGATGACATGCTCCTATCCCCTCTATGGTGGCAATCCCTGATGTGGCTGAAAAACCTCACAGAACTGCTGTATAATCGGTAGTACCGAAAGAGGGATGTCCCCCCTTCTTCCCCTCTAATCCCTTCCAAGCTTTGTAGCTCCACCAGAAATCCTCCTCCCACCTCCTCTATGGCTCTTACCATTGTTTTTAGTGACACTATGGCTTTTGAGAGTCCTGCATCTCCCTTAATCACCATCCTCTTCCCTTCCACCATCAACTCCACTGTCAGCATCCCCCAAATCACCTTGGTATTCCTCTTGATCTGCAACCATCTCATCTTCATGGTGACATCAGTGCTCTCCAACTTCAATGGGAGAAAATTCTTCCTCACCTAGATCCGCTATATGGTCAAGACTATTCCCCTACACACCTCTCTACTTATCACCATCTTCTCCGTCCCTATCATCATCCCATAACACCATGTGTCCACCAATTTTAGCCCCAATTGGTTTACGGCCTGGTTGGAGGAAGTTGTGAGTGGCCCCACTATCTATCAGCACCACTACCTCCTTGTTTGCTATTTCTCCTCTCACCGTCATAGTATGATTTGGAGTGAACCCCACCACTGAGTTCAAGGAGATCACAGTCATGTCTAAATGAAGCTTTTCCTCCTCCGCCGATACCTCACTCCCACCTCCCTTCTCAGCTTCCTTGTCATTATAGACAGTGAGAACCTGAAGAGTTCGGTCCTTATACCTATGCTCTGTCATATACTTCTCATCACATCTGAAACATAACCCCTTTGCCCGCTTATCCTATTATAACTCTGGATTTTTTAGTCACTTGAAGTCCCCCCCCCCCCTAAGCCTCTTCATGAAATTCCCCTCAAATTCTTTCTCTAAGATTCCCCTCAGTCTCCCTGATAGCAGCTCAAACTTCTCCCGGTACTCCATAACTGTTCCCTCCAGAGTGAGGGCATATAATTGCTCATGAATGTCTCCTTCTCATATTGCTCGGAAACATTCCAACAAACATTCCTTAAATTATCCTAATAAGTATATCGGATACCTAGCCTCCCTGCATTAGAACTTAGCTAGGGCTTTCCCTTCCAAACATAGACCCGCCGCCATGAGTTTTTCCTCATCAGTCAGCCATTGATGGCAAAGTACCGTTCTACCCAGTACACCCAACCCTGATCATCGTCCCCTTCAAACACTGACATCTTTAGCTTCCTTGCTCTTGCATCCATACCTGAATGATTTCTTCCCTTGTTGGTTCCCCATTGTATTGTTGTGATTCCCTTCCTTCCTCCCTTGATTGATTTTGACCCCATGACTCCCCCTAACCATGCCCTTCTCCATTTCACTTCTCCCCATGCCTAGGTAATCTCCCAAAAGGGTCGGCTTCCCTTCTATTTGTTGTCCTCCCTTCAGAATACCCCGATCCACCCACCAACGGTGCTCCACACGGCGGTCCTTGATGAAAAACACTCTCCACTTCATCGTTGTCCTCTGGAATCTCCTTTTCTCGTGGTTCCACCCTAGGAATCGCCGGTTATGCTTTCGATTGCATCTCAAGCATCTTTCTCATCATCTCTTCAAAGTTCCCAAAGTGGCTCTCGGTGGCCTAGAGTTTTCAGAATATTTTTCCTCTACTCCAACCTTGAGTTGTTCCATCTCGTCCTCCAATGCCTCCATCCTTTTTACTGCCATTAATTAGATCTAGGTTCCAAACCAAGAAAAAAGCAAAAAATCAGCAAATCTAGTCTTCAAATGGAGAAAATCAGCAATACGGGAAAAAAAATACAGCAGAAATCTGCGATGAGGACTTAAATTTCAGCACAGGACACCGCTCTAACACCAATTTGATAGGAAACAAATACATAAATCATAAAATTAGTGTCTGAAATTTGGAATTTCAACAAACACCAAGCAGAAATTGAAGAAATCCCTTGGCAAATCAATAGAAAAATTTGATAATTGATGAAAAGTGAAAGAAAACAAGTATGATACAATGAATCTTCAATTTGAGAGGAAGATCTGGCTCTACCAATCTCTAGCTGGTGGCTAGAGCCCAAGCAAACCTAGAGAACTTCTAAATTCAGCAAAGCACAAGCATAACCCTAACCCTACCATGAGAATAACTATTAAAACCAACAATACAAATTACAAAGTCTAATCAACCCTTCAAATTCAAATCTCCTGCTTATTAGCCCTTTCTCTCTCCCTTCCTTAATGCGTGGACCCCACCCGAAGGGGGGCATGGACTTGCTTGGGCGAAACCAGGCTTTCGCCTGGTATAAAACTTGGGTGGTCCTTGTCATCAACAAGAAGGTTAATTCTTATTTTATTTCAATCATTTCCTTTTATTGTTTATCGAAATGATCATGGTATAACTTCAGATCTCTATGCAATATTAATGTTATTTTGCCTTATTTCTTTCTAATGTTTGGGCCCTTCTTCCCAAGTCTCTCTTTCCCCATATCCATTATTTATCTCAAATTTTTGTGGTTATTTATCTCAAATTTTTGGGCGGTCCTTGTCATCAACAAGAAGGTTAATTCTTATTTTCTAATGAAAGGCTTCTGTTTACAATCTTAAGCCACTTCCTTCATCA